GGCCAGCCACGAAAAAGAGTTCAGCCACACCGCTGGCTGCAAGGGCCGCGAACGGATCTGTGCCAGCTTGGAAACAGGCAGGAGAGCGCGGGGCCGGTTATGCAGCAGTGGCTGCCGGGCCCCCTCCCAGGAAGCGCTGGCTAAGCCTGGGGTGTCAGGTGCTACTGTCCCTCCATGGGGCTGGGCTGCTGAGGGGCAGGAGACGGCCATGGGACCTTCCTCCCCGTGCCTGCAGCTCCCCAGAATGGTGTCTTCCCAGAGTTGTTTTTTTTTTTTTTTTTTTTTTTGCAGGCCTAGGGATCAAACCCACGCCCTTCACACAGAGCTCCACCCCCAACCTTTGTTTAATTTTTTATTTTGAGACAGGGCCTTGCTAAATCACTAAGTTGCCCAGGCTGGGCTGGAACTTGCAGTCTTCCTGCCTCAGTCTCCCAGGAGTTTTCTTTATGGCCAGTGGAAAGTAGAAAGAGTGTTGGAGGCCGGCCACACCGCAGGGTGTCAGGGTCAGCTGTGTGATGCCCCCATGAGCCTCGAACTGTCCCTCAGTGAGTAAACTAAGAATGGTGTTGAACCAGCCACGGCAGTAATCCCAGTCCCACAGTCCCAGAAATGGGGAGGCTGAGGCAGGAGGATCACAGGTTCAAGCCCAGTCTGGGCGATTTTGGGAGACCATGTCTCAAAATAAAAATTGGAAAAGGACTGAGATGTAGCTGTGTGGAAGACCTGGGTCCTCAGAACCATGGAAGAGAGAAAAGAAGGAAAGAGAAAAGGAGAGAAAGAGGTAAAAAAAAGAAAGGGTAAGGACGGGGAAGGGCCCCAGGAAGGAGGCTGTGCACATGCACTGGTAAGCAGGGCCTGGCAGCCATGCCGGCTGGAGCAGTGGGGACCCACAAGGACCCTGAGGATCTTGGGGTGCAGTGCTGACAGGACAGGAGCCCCCCTGGCTGGGGAAAGGACTCCGCAGTTTAGGATCTGCAGGAAGTTCCTGGCAGAGACGTGGCCTCTGGTTTGGGGCTCCCATCCTTGAGGGCAGGAGATGGAAGTGGGGTCCCGCCCAGCCAGCTCCCAGCAAGGGAGCTGTGTCCCTCTGCTGTCTACCACACATCCTCTGCCTGCTGCCTCCCTGCCGGCCGCCTTGTCCCCTCCCACTGCATGGCCCCTACCTGTTTGGGGGTACGCAGCAGCTCCTCAGCAGTGGCCACGGCGGTGATGGCCCGGCTGTGCTCTGTGTAGGGGTACAGGGAGACCGACAGCCCGGCCACCAGCTGGATGGCCAGCTCTGTGACAGAAACCTTGTCGTCCAGCACGGTGACCGTCTTCTCTGCCAGGATGGAGTCGGACAGCGGGGAGAGCACCTGTGTTGGAGGACACAGGAGACCTGGTCATGGACAGCCTTGGGGTCACCCACCATGCCACTGTGAACCCTGACCCATGCTACGTCCTTGGGGAAGCAGTTGTCTGCCCCCAGATACTTTAGGTGAGTCGCCCATGTGGACAGGGGACTGTTGTACAGTGCACAACTTGGTTTACTGTCCATGGTGAACCTGGTGACTGGATTTATGAGAAGTTGCACACAGACTTTGTGCAGCCGGAATCACATTCTAAGTGATTTACAGAATTAACTGGAGAGCACAGGTCCATGCCTCCCACCGGCAACACATTTGTCTATGGAAACTCTGCTCCTGCCTCCTCAGAAGCTGGGATCAGGCTTGAGATGTCCACACAGCTTAAGGGTCCAGAGAGGGGCCAGCAACCCGAGGGTCTCGGGGGCGGGGGAGAGGAAAAGGCCGTCCACCCCCATGTGCGGGAAACCCCACCATCTGACCCGTTTCTGGGGCAGCAGATAGGAGCACACGAGCATTTGTTGAATGAATAAAGGGTAGGCCCAGGAGCTGCCGCTCGCACCTGCACAGTTGTCATACCGACCTCCCGGCCGGCCAGCACGCCATACTCCTGCAGCGAGGCCACGCGCGGCACCTCCAGCTTCACGAAGTCGGCCACCAGGGCACTGACGTCGAACCGCCAGCCGGG